AAAGTAACAGTAGGAAGTGGGACTATCTCCTTGTCAGACATCCTTAACTCAGTTCTGCTAAACGAATAATCAACATACTGCATATGCAGACAGTCCTAGAAAGTCACATCATCTGCATAGAAACATGTATTATGATAAAGGTTTGTAATTTTACTTTTGGGGTCTGCAATTTACAGAAACACCTGAAAACCTCGGCCACTTGCTAAGTCAGTCCAGGAAAAGAACCTTCAGACGCCTCCGTTAGTCCTCACTTTATCTGCTTCTATGTGGAACGTTAGCAAGAAAAGGAAATAATTCACAAAGAAAGAATTCAGTTGTTGGTTCAGCTTCACTGTCTTTCTCTCCAAATTCTACATTTCTGAACCACAACACGTCCTCTCAAAGGGCATCCTGCATGTTTCTGCCCAGTTCAGCTCAGCTCTGTCGTCACAGTTTCAGTCAGTCAGTCAGCGGGACTTTCAGAGTAAATGTCTTCAGGTGGGCGACTGTTTGACGTCACTCTGAGTTGCCTTCATCAAAAAACCGGGTGGTGAAATCGTTTCACAGAAAGCCAGATGTGGTTAGATGTGAGTTTGTCTGGTGACACATGTTCTGCGGAGGAAAACTTTATCTTTTGCTCACAGCTGCTGCCCAGCGGCTGGTTGACCACTTCCTCTATTTGTCGGCGGAGATTCTGCACACCTGAAAAGGTCCTGTGCACTTTCAGGAGCTTATTTGAAGCCGTTTGCACATGAAAAAGACGTCATACCTTCAGGCTTTTCTTTCTTTTTTCTCTCAGCATCCAAATAGTACCACGATAATCTGCAAGTAGCTGGAAAATTACAGTTTATGTCAGCGCAGAAACATAACAGCTGAACTTTTTTAGCTGTTACTGTCTTCTTGAAAACCTCTGAACAGGCTGCCTACGGCTGTAAATAGCTGTTTCATATCTGATAAGGTCATGAACGAGAAACATAAACGGAAACCGCCTGGGAAAAAAAAAAGAGAACAGAACATCCTACAGCTCTGCACTTAAACAGGAACTCTGGACAGAAATTAGAAGTTAATTAAAGAACGTACCAGTCAGCTGGATATAAAACTGGTCTCATTATCTGAGGGCTCTGCGTGACATTCGCCCTCCCATCAGTTTCACAATGTATGTGTGTCACTGCAGCTAAACCGGAGCAGCACTGTAACACCAAACCTGATCGTATCACCAGCTGCACAAACACCAGGCTGCCGGTTGTTCATCACAAGAAAACGAAGGGCAGCAGAGCAGCAACGTTCTCTGGTTATCTGGAGAACTTATTCTGCCTTGGATGGATAATCCTGATACCGGCTGGGTACAACATGTTGTTGGTCGCTGCTTCACTGAGAAGAATTTTTGCTGTTTCTTCAGCAGAAAACGTCCTAAATATGAAAATCTTGGTTTAAATGTACGGAAGATTTTGCATTTTCGCTCTGTTTGGATCAGTCAGACTTCCTCCTGGAA